TCACAGTGTTCATTGCAGCTCTATTTACAATAGCCAGGACATGGAAGCAACCTAAGTGTCCATCGACAGATGAATGGATAAAGAAGATGTGGCATATATATACAATGGAATATTACTCAGCCATAAAAAGAAACAAAATTGAGTTATTTGTAGTGAGGTGGATGGACCTAGAGACCAGTCATACAGAGTAAGTCAGAAAGAGAAAAACAAATACCGTATGCTAACACATATATATGGAATCTAAAAAAAAAAGGTTCTGAAGAACCTAAGGGTGGGACAGGAATAAAGGCGCAGACATAGAGAATGGACTTGAGGACACGGGGAGAGGTAAGGGTAAGCTGGGACAAAGTGAGAGAGTGGCATGGACATATATACACTACCAAACGTAAAATAGCTAGCTAGTGGGAAGCAGCCGCATAGCACAGGGAGATCAGCTCGGTGCTTTGTGACCACCTAGAGGGGTGTGATAGGGAGGGTGGGAGGGAGGGAGACGCAAGAGGGAAGAGATATGGGGACATATGTATATGTATAGCTGATTCATTTTGTTATAAAGCAGAAACTAACACACTATTTTAAAGCAATTATATTCCAATAAAGGTGTTAAAAAAAAAAAAGATGAGATTGTGCTGGAGCAAGGTGGCCCCTGATCTAATCACTGGTGTCCCTATAAAAGGGGGAAACTTGGAGACAGACATGCACATGGGGAGACGCCATACGGCCTTGTGAGGGCTGGGGTTATGCTGCTCTAAGCCAAGGAGCTCCCAGAAGCTGGGAGAGGTGCCAGGAACAGGTCCTGCCCTCAGAGAGAGAACCTGGCCCTCCACACCTTGGCCTCTGGAAGCCTGAGATGATTGATTTCTGTCGTGGGAGCCATTGCCCCGGAGCTAGGTGCATGGCACCTTGTTACGGCAGCCCTGGCAAACTCCACACTCCCTCAGTCTCTCTCTCACTGCAGTCGTGCACTCTGCTGCCTGTCCTCTCCCTGTCCCCCTCTCCTCACTGTACTCCCCACTCTTGGGGGCACTCACCCAGCCGAGGCTCCGTCACCATCGCCATCCTAACCACCCCGGGCCCCCTGAGCCCCAGATCCAGCTCTGCTGAATTATTTACAGTAATCGCTTGGTCAAGGGTTAGTAAATGCTGGAAAAAATACCCACAGAAATGACATACGTAGTTCAAACCCCACACTTTCATTTCGGACATGTTGGCGATCGCCCATTCCACAGGTTTGTGCTGCCAGGTCTTTCTTTGCCTTTGGGGCTCACGGAGCAGACTCTGTCTGTATCACTGACCTCACACTATCATCGTTCCCACCTGTTGCTTCCATGTCCAGATTGAACTTCTTTAAAGTGACCCAAGAAACTAAGTGTAGAATCCTTTTGGATTTTTACAATTCTTTCTTATCTTTTATAGACGTCTTGCCCATACCTATTTCAACTGCAGGGGTTTTTTTGTTTTTGTTTTTAGTGATTTGCCTTGTTTGAAAAAATTTTAAAACACTGTGTTATTTTTTTATAGAAACAGCGTTTCTCCTTTTTTTGATTTTCACATGGCATTAGTTTGTGCAATCTTTAATGAACAAAGCAAAGTATAACTAACAAATACAGCTGGCAGAAACAGGTGGAGGGCATCCAGACCTGATCTTAGCAAGTATACGACTCAGTGTGGGTGTTCTAGAGAGCAGCCTACCAGCCTGAGCTTTGGATGTGCCGTGAGTGTTGGTCAAAGTGATTTATGGAGGGGAGTGGAGACCCTGATGGGTTAGGCAAGAGAAGTCGGTGAAGAATTTTACAGCACCCTGTGTTCCTCCAATAGGCCTTCCACTCCTCCCAGCCTTGACTCATACCAATCCCTCTGCCAACGTATCTTCTCCTTGTAGCCTGTTGTCCCTTCTCCCCAAGGTCTCAGTTTAGCCATCACTTCCTCCAGGAAGCCCACCTAGCTTCCCTCAAGCTAGATTAACTGTCCCTCCGCTGTGCAATAGCGCCCTCTAGTCCCCAGTCAGAGAACTGACACCCCTGCATAAGTACCTCCCACCCAACAACCATAAGCTTTGTGAGGATGAGCCCTTGTCTGTGTCATGCATCAGCGGGTCCCCAGCACCTAGCACCACGTCTGGCATGAGTGGGCGCTCCACAAATATTTGTGGAAGGGAGGGAGGAGGAGAGGAAGATCCTATAACTTGTTTCTCAGGAATCTTCCACCCCTCCCTGGATTGTAGGATAAGGTACACCTTAGCAGGCAGTGGAGGCCTGCACTGTCGTCATAGTAACAGTAGCAGTAATGGACGTGGTCGTGGAAGTGGTGGTGGTGTTGGCAGTCATGCTCAGAAGACTAACTCCAGTGCCTGCCTCTGTCATCACGTGGCCTTCTCTCTGTAGTCTTCTAGAAACCTCCAAATCTCTCTCCTTATGAAATCCAGTCATTGGATCTAAGGCCCACCCTAATATATTATGGCCTCTTCCTAAGTGATCACATCCACGATGACCCTATTTCCAAATAAGGCCACATCCACACATTCTAGAGATTAGGACTTCAATACGTCCTTTGGGGGAACACGATTGAAACCACAATATGAGCATTTTAAAGTATGCTCTCTCTTGCTTCTTGGGCATGGAGGGAATGAAATACAGAATTTGAGAATGCGTCTCCACATGTGTGTCCAGGACCCAACATGCACCCCTGGCTGGTTGACGCTCCTGGGCTGTGTTCATGTATCAGTGTACTCATCCACCATTGTTGCAACTGTGATTTTCTTTGCTCTGACTTTCGAAGTTCTTTGCATGTTTTTAATGTCCTTAAGTGAATATCATTGCTATAATAGAATATTCTACCTGGAAGAGATCAAAACTTCCCACAGCCAACAGAGACTCCGCAGGGTTCTGGGAATAGAACAAGAAGCCAGTTTTTGGCATAAGAGAGAATACTTAAGGATCCTGGATGGCGTTAGACATTGCCTGGTCAGACACTGTCAGCACAGGGCCAAAGGGTTGGAAGCAGTGCCTCTGTGTACGTGTTACACCTTTGTGACAGGCCACACATGTCGGCCTTCAGCTGTCCTTTCTCGACCTTTCACCTTTAGCAGGCCTGTGTATTTTAGCACAGAGGTCTGAAGAGGTTCTGAATCCACAGACTCTGGTGGGAAAACTTACCCCGACCCAAGAAGGCAGTTCCCAGTAAAAAAATCATGAATATTTATTGAGCGTGTATTATTGGCACTGTTCTGGGGGCTCTCCCATATAGGGACTCATTTGCTGTTTACAACATTCCAATAAGATATCTACTCATTTTATCCCGTTGTTTTAGATGAGGAAACTAAAGAATTAGTGGGCTGCTTGAGGTTATACAAAGGTGACAGAGCTGGTATTTGAAGCTGGGAATGTAGCTTTGGTCCTGCCTTCCCAGGGATGGGCACTCAGGTGCTGCTCTGAAGCCCGACCTTGCCCAGACTGTGTTTCTGGAGGGGCTTCCGTGTACGAAACCCTCAACTCGTCCTCCAGAAGAGAGCAGCAAATGTTTAGCAGCACTTCATGATCAGGGTGCTCCTAGAAGTGGAAATAAGGAGTGGAGGCAGCACCCTAAAGAGAATGAGTAACTCAGTGAAAGGGGAGGAAATGCTTCCTGGGGAGGTGACTCGTGAGCTGGGTTTTGAAGATTAAATAGGAGTTCATCCAACATACCTAGTAAGACACAACAGTCAGAAGAAATAGCATGCAAAGGACAGAGATATGAAACAACAGGGTTTTTTAAGGTATGGGTGGGGACTTCCCTGGCTGTCCAGTGGTTAAGACTCCGTGCTTCCACTGCAGGGGGCACGGGTTTGAGCCCTGGTCAGAGAACTAGAATCCTGCATGCATGCCACACAGCCAAAAAAAAAAGTCCCCACCAGGGACCTTATGAAAAATATTTTTAAAGGTGGGGTACTGCAAGTACTTTAGCATGGATGAGTGATAAAATGCAGAGGCAAATATCATGTGTGTTGAGACCAGAGAGACAGAAAGAGCCAGAAAACAAAGGGCCTGGTTTGCCTGCCAGGGAAGCTGGCTTAATCCTGAGCATGTAAGCAATTTAATATCATAGTTTTAACACAAGGTCAGAATACCCAAACCTTGATGCTGTTAGTACTACTGCTTTTTTCCCCTGGTTTTATTTTTATAATTATTGAGGGAAAAGATGACAAAAGTCAGTAAGCTCCATATCTGATGTGTGTGACTGTTGTGCTAAAGGATCTTGGTTTTTAATGTCCTCCACTTTTTCTCCAATTTTTCATCAGCAGTTCTCTTTGGCAAGTTATTCTCAGATGCCAAGATAAGTACTTTTGAGAGGTTTTTTTTTTTTTTAACGTTTTCTTAAGTGCCTTTGATTGCATAAGAGCATCATGGAGAACTGTTTCCAGTTGTATCTTTATCGCAGGAATGGAGGCTAAGACTGATTATGTAATTTTTCCCTCGGTTTATTCTCAGAACCTAACACGCTGCCAGCATATGAAAAACCCTAATGATCACAGTGGCATCTGAGTGTCTTTCCTGCTCATGGTTTCTGGCACTATTGCTCTTGCATTGTTTACTGCAAAGTAGAAATTGATGGTTTAAATGTGGCATGACTGTTCCCCCAGCATTGGGCACCCCGGAGCCATAGCTCCGTCTGCTCTGTCTTGTATAATACATGCGGCCCGTGGCCAGCCTCTCTCACCAGAGAATGGATTCACGTGTGCTCCTTGGAGACCCTCGCCAGAGTCTCACCATGTTAAAATTCGGATGAGAAGAGGCAGTGTAATCGTGCTGCGCTGAGGTTGCATTTTGCAAGGGGAGCAGAATACCATCTGTCAGAGGAGGTGGCGGGAGTGTGCAAATACTGCTGTGAATTCCGTGAATGCTTAATTGCTATAGATTTTTTAAATTTATTTAAGAGGCTTTGCATTTAGTGTGTTTGTTATTTGTTCTTTTTTTTTTTTTTTT